AGCTCCAGCTTGGCCCCAGTGGGGCATGTCCTGGTGCTCAGCAGCATGGGGCTGCCTGGCAGCCCACCAGGAGTGTCCAGTGTTGGCCAGTGTGAATGGGACCATGGTGCAGCATCATGGTCCACATCATTGCCTGAAACTGTCACCAGCGGCTCTTCTCCTCAGTAGCTGTGCACGCGTCCGGCTCTGTCTTGTAGTGGACAGGAACTCACAGGATGAGGACCTGGCCCAGCTGGCTGAACATGCTCTCTCCTGCCCCACTCAGGTTCTTCCCCTCGGCCTCAGCACACTGAGCACTTGGGAGCTACGCACCATTTTGTGGATGGGGAACTGAAACGCATGCAGGCACTTTCATTTGGGTTATGCAGAGTTCCGAAATGAAGTCGGAAATGTGACTGCAGGCAGAAATGCACAAGTTCCTGTTCATGCCTTGAGCTGGTCTCTAGCAGTGATGTGAAGCATGGAAATCTGTACAGATCCTCTATCTGTAGTCCTCTGTAAGCTTACATGCTTTGTTTTCTGAGCTGGCTGTTCTACCAGCAGGGATCTGCTGGAGGTTGGCTTGCTAACTGAACTGCGTTGAAAGTTCTTCCTATTAACATACACAGGCACCAAATTGTTTAATTTTTTTTCCCTTGCTAAATGTTCTTCAGCCTATGCTTTTCAGATAGTTGAGTCAGGCTGTTCTTATAGACCTGTAAGAATCTTATCATATTCACAAGTGTTGAGCTCAGGTTGGAAAAGCCATAAATGACAACCAACATGCTCAGGAGAAATGATCACCTGCACAGAACCAGCCTCACAAGATGGAGGAGATCTGACCCACGTGTTTAAATATATCTGGTAGAGTGGGCTCCAAATGGAGGAGAGAAATACTGCTGCTGAAGGGCTGTGGTGCAAAAATGAATGATGCTAAATTGGCCTTGAGAGCATAAGACCAAAGAAGATGTAGACCAGCCACCCAAAGCTGTGAGGGAAAGCATCTAGAGATGTTATTTATGCCTGCAGTGTGATTTATAAGGCTGTGACAGTTAACCTGCTTTTGACACAAGCTTGATTTAGTGGCCAGAACTTCCTCATTTCCACAGAAGAGTCTGCCAGATAAGGAAGGGGTGCCTGCCAGAAGGCCACTGCCACTGCTCCTCCCCAGGGAGGTGCTGCAGTGTGCTGCCCTGCTTCTCGGATAGAGAACTCCATGGGGCACCGTGACAAGCTGCAGGACTTCTTGCCCCGGGTGAGCTCTGAAAAGATGTGAGCATTTGATTTCTCGAAAGCTGAAAGTGATTTCTTATAACACGTGTGCAGATCATTCCTGCAATCTCTGAGATGAAGGTTTCTTTCTGCCCTGATTTCTTAATTCCCTTCTGTAGATGCCTTTTCTCCTCTGTCTGATGCAGGGTGTGGACCACATCTTCCCACCTCTTGCAGGGGGGACTGAGAGGGACAACGTTTGCAACTGTGAAGCCCTCTGGCTTTGTTTTGTCACGCATGACAGCAGTGGAAGTTGTGCTTCGCAGGCATTTTTTCCTGTTATTTCAGAGACAGCAGCAGTGCTAAGGCTATAATGAGGGCTCTCCCATGATCATAAGCATAACTCCCATTCCTCTCGGAGAAAAACGCTGCATTTTGTACGTGGGCACTGCCCTAGGTCTGCTGGCAGTGCTTGCTGCGTATCGCAGGTTGAGGCATAGTGCTAAACCCCCAGCACCCTGTGTCCTGCTGTACTTCTCCCAGAGACGTAACACAACATTTAGCCTCCCCGGGGAAGCAACAGGGATGGATTCTGCTGTGTGATTTGCCTCTCCAAGTCAGCACCCAGTTCCCAAGGCTCACTCTGAAGTCTATGGAAAAGGAAAAGCCCCTTGGGAACAGTACTCAGTGCCACGTATTGGTCTCCAGCTGCATCGCCGTCAGGTGGAGCTTTTCTGCCCTGAGAACTCTGGTGTGGGAGAGTTTTGTGGTGTGCCCTTCTACAGCTCAGCTGTAAGGCGGATGGGAAGCGCTAGGCAGCTAGGCAGCTCTGCTGGGACTGCATCAGGGACACAAGATGCTTTGCTTCAGGTGAGGGCTCCACAGCAAAGGCCTGACTACTGCCAAAAACACAGTCACCCATTGGTGTCATTTTCAGAATGCAAGCACAGCTGAGATAAAGGTCACCTGGGCTCACAGTCCTGTGGGTGGGTTTTGCGGCCCTCCTGGATGTGCAGGAAGGAAGTCAGCACCACTGGATGCTCCCAGCAGTGAGCGCAGCGACCCTAGAAAGCATCCTTGGCTTTTGGTGTGCAGTGAGAGATGGTATTGATTTGTTTTTCTCTCTGGGAAGCTTTGTTACAAAGCCTGAAGTAGAACTGCCATGCCTGCTTTTGCTTTGTACCCTCCTCTCTGTTGAGTCTTGTAAGCCCTACAAAAGCTCAAAGGAGTGATGCTTGTATAGTTCTGCCAGCGCTTTCCTTTCAGACCAGGCTTCGAGAAGCGTGTGCCTTAGGTGGGTGATGGGAAGGATGCACAAAGACTCAGCTGTCTCCCAGCAGTCTGTGTGCTTGCATGCCCTCCTGGCTGCGGAGAGCCTGCCAGCTATGTGAGAGGCATTGCAGAGCATGTCAGTCCGGCAAGATGTAGAAAATGATCATCTTGCAAGAAGCGGCTTTCTTTGCATCTGGGGAAAAATGACTTCTGTAAGCAGTGCTTGCTCCCACTTGATTATTGTCACGTAAGACCTTGATTTAATGCAGGTTTCAGCTACAGGAAGCTCACGAGAGAGGCTGTGTCAGTAAGAGCAATGGCTGTAGTGCCTGTCCCGACCGCACGCGTTTCTCAGGAATAGAGAATTAAGGCTGGAAGCTCTCCTGCTGCCTCTGCCAGAGGTGGTGTCAGGGTTCTGCACGTCCCCTGTGATGTGACCAAGCAGACAGCGCAGAAGAATAAATAACAAAAATGCTTAACTGTGCTGTGCTGATAGGAGGGCAGACTTTTATCACCCAGGCATAGGTACATGCGTTATCTTTGACAGTGCCCGCATACCCCATCATTCATCCCATCCTTTATGCTTTGGTGATACCTGGATAAATGGGGGGAAAAAGGCACATATATTTCTCAAGGACGTGTTCATGTTTCCAGCATTACTTTTCCATGCTAACATTATGACCTGAATCCAAAGAGGCACCAACTTGCTTTCCAGAGACCGTGTTGTGAGGCAGAAGCCATGCTGCCAGAGCAGCTCACCTCCTGGCAGGTATCTGGCCCATGCTTACCTGCTCTGGCAACACCCACTGCCTTCCTGCGGGCACAGGGGCAGGCTGGGGCTCACCAGGCATCAGACACCCCGCAGGGCCAGCGGAGGCACAGTTCTGGGCAGAAAATGCCTGGAAAGGGAAGAGTAAAAAAGCTGGACCGGAGGGCAGAATATTTGTTATCATCTCAATTAAGGCTCTCTTGTCATTGTAACATGAACATCTGATCAATCTACAAAGCTCTAGTAACAGTTTGTTAAAGCACAGCTTCTCTCTGAAAGAGACTGCCAATGCGTTTCATGTTTATCTCTCAGGGACTTGGTAGCAACCGTATGTGGCTTGCAAGTACAAAGACATGTTTTTTTCCTAACCGCCTGCCCTCCAGATGCAGCCTGAGCCCTGAGCTGAGCTCTGTCTTTCCATCAGCCTCTGATCAGAGTTCTGATAGAAGCACTCAGTGTGCAGCAGCACGTGCAAGCTGGGCCACAGCAGTGCGTGCAGAGGACTGCCAGGGCGTTCAGTAGGTAGCTGGGAACTGGAACTAGCTCCTGCTCACAGCATCACTTTGAAAACGCCCACACTGTTCTACAAGGGGCTGCTGTGCCCTTACGGCCACGCTGCCATTATCACCTCAGATGCAGCCTGCTGGGGAGACAGAGCACTCAGCAACACTCAAGGCAAAAACCTGACAAAGCTGCTTAGGGATGCACAGTTACCAGCTATTTATTTTGCAGTGAGGGTCACAGAGCAGAGAGGATTCATCCAGCATTACCAGCTCCTTCCTCCTCTCGTGCAAGGAGAGCAAAGTCCCAGGGGAGGTCATGTGCCTTGTCCAAGCCCATCAGCAAGCTGGCAGCTGTATTCATCTTCTTGGCTGGGGTTTGCCTCATGTGCAAGGAAGAGAAATGACCCCACATCCCATGCTGTCCCAGCTGAGCTTTTGCTCATGTTTCCTTCCATCTGACACCTGCTCTGGGTGTGAGGCCATGGAGGCCTGCAGTCAGCTTGCTGTCTTCCCAGCAGTAATGCCAGAGGAGAAAACTCAAGAAGCAAGGAAAGTCAGTGGTTTCCTATGTTCTCTCAACAGCTTATGATCTTGGTTATTTCTGAGAACAAAGAAGTCAGTTCAAGGCTCATTCCAACCAAAGCAGGCACTAAAGGGAGAATGGGAACTGATGATCCTGCTAATACAGAACTTGTGTAAGACCAATTAGCACTCAGGATTGAAGCAAAATCCAGGCTTGGGTGACAAGCAGGTAGTGAGCACAGAGGCTCAGTTCTCTGTGCTGTGTCACCTCGTCACTCCTGTGGCCCAAATGGTGCCTATTGAACCAGAGACAGGGAACAAACTGGGGAGGCAGCTCCAGAGCCAAATTCGCTTCTTGGACTGTTCGTACCCCAATACATTCTGGTGTAAGGTGCTCTGCTGTGGTATCTGATAATGCAGGAGCTCTAACTGAAGCTTTACTCTTGACTGCGGTGGTTATGACTTCCCTGCTGCCACTCTGCCCCCCACCTGCTTCCTCCCCAGACCAAGGAAGCCTACAAAGAGGAAATTTCAGAGAGCTGAAGACATCTTTGCCAGCCTGGGTAAATCTGGCTAGCAAAGGAGAAGAGTAGATGCAGACACCAACACATTCACTCACCTGTAGCAATCACCTCCTTTAGCTAAAAATCCCAGAAAGCCAAGAAATGGGCTGTGTAAGAGAACAGTTCATTAACATTTATACAGCACACTTGTGCTTCCAAATGTCTGCTGAGTCCCAGGCTCTCCCAGCTGATAAAAACTATTGCAAGCTGTCACACCTGATTCTCTCTCTCCAGCCCTGCAGGTAGAGGAAAATCTTTAACAAGATTGGGAAGAAAAGAGGAGACAATTTCTCTTTACTATTCTATGGGAAAACAAGCTGTTGGATTATTGTCTGGAAACTGTGCAAAGTGCCAAGATGAGCAGTGAGAGCCTGGAGAACCCTGGTCCCTCCCCATTGACTGAAGGCCTGAAGAGAAAGAGGGGAAGACCAAAGAAACAGCCACAGGTGAGTGCATGTCATCTATAGAGTCTACCTGAGGTGCCCAGCGTTAACCTGGTAGGATCTGTAGGCGGCCAAGAGCAAGGAAAGCCAAGGTTTTCTGTAGTAAATATTAAGGCTATTCAGGAAAGCAGCAGTGTGTGTGCCCTGGGGTGTCAGAGGTGTTCTGGTGTCCACATGGAAAGCTGCTCAGACCAGGGAGTGGAATGGGAGGAGCTGCTCAGGTCTCTGCTGCAGTCTGGAGACTTTCAGGTGTCACAGCCCTCTGTTTCTGCACCGGTAGTTGGTGCACAGGCTGCTCTGGCCCTGTTCCAGATGCTGTGGTCGGGATCCTAGCAACTCATCCATTTCACCAAGACAAAATGTACATGAAATTAGTGGTAAATGTGTTTCAGCATCAGGAAAAGCAGAGACAACCAGATAGGTTTATCAGGTGTGACCCTGCTGAATTTTCTCTTTGTTGCAGGATGATGCTGTGGGCTCACTGCCAGAGAAAAAGCCACGAGGAAGGCCAAAAGGAAGCAAGAAAATGAGCACTGTAACTGGACAAATGGTAACAGCAAGTGGCTTGTGTGCTTTAGCAAGGGGAGGAGAGATGCTGGCTGTATGAGAGGGACAAGTGGGGAGGTTTCTCTTGACGGCCAGGGAAAGGTTGCCCCTATTTTGGTTTACTGTCAGCTGCTGCTGTTAGACCTACCAGTTCTGCGACCTTTGTCCAAGCTGCCCCAGCCCTCCCGTGCTGCTGCTGCCTGCTCAGCACTTCACTGCTTTTGTGCTGCATGGTTTCCATGTACAATCAGCGCGATTTGGTAGGCGCTTCCTCCACAGCTGTCCTCCTCCAGCCTTGGCTGCTTCTGCTGCTTGTCCTGCAAGATCATTGTGCAGAGTTCACTTCGTCCGAGTGAAGTGTATTAATGGTGGTGCCCAGCAGATGCAAGAGATGAAAATATATCTGTTGTTTTCAATGTAGGTAGAACCTCCTGCTGGGAAGAGGCCCCGAGGAAGGCCCCGCAAGTGGGTGAGTGCAGTTCTCAGTCCTTCTCCTCTCTTCCAGGTACAGAGCTTTGGGTGGTAGTGGGAGGTTCTGCTGTGTTTGTTCTTCTCAGTCTCTCTGCAGTGACACAGAGCTGAGCTGGCCTGGGTGGCCTCACACATGTGGGAAGCTCTGAGTGCCCTTGCAGTGCCCCAGTCCATGGCTCAGCTCCCATAGCAGGCTGGGAGAGCTGCTGTGCTCAGGACGTGTCAGTCCATCACAGCAGTTTCCCAGGGCACAGATTCCATTCTGAGGCACAGGGGCTGTCATCTCAGGAGTCCTGAAACACTGCAGTGATTGCTCAGCATGTCTGTTTGTTTCTAAACAAGAAACTTAGAATTAAAAAAAAATTTTAAAAAAAAAAAGTGGAAAAAAAAGAATTAAAAACGGAAATGTAGTGACAAAACGGTGAGTGGGGCCAGCAGGAGGCTCTTCTCTGCAGCCAGCAAAAGATTAGTGAGAATCGGTAGCTGGAAGATAAAGGCTTGAAAAAAAACCTACGCTTATAATCAATAGGGATATTCAGTCCTGCAAACAAGTAATGGCCTGGGATCTCTCTTTGCAGGTGATTTATAAACCAAAACAAAACGCAGACAAAGCCACACAAATCTCACAAACTTTATTTATTGCACAGTTGTTACCACAGAGAATTGCAGGCCAAAGCCACACTGTGCACTCACTGCAGCAATCCAGAGGTGTGCAGCTGGGAGCCATGCCTCTTGTTCCCCAGGTTACGTGGATTGAAGGTATCACTTTAAAAATAAACAGAGAGGTGTTCCCTGAAGGCCTTGTGGTCTGAAACCTTCTCATGAATGAGAGGTTTGTCAGTGCTTGTGGAGTCCACTCACTGGAGTCCAAGCAGTCTCCAACACACCAGAAGTTATAAATTGCTTTACAGCAGAATTTCAGATTCCTGAGGCAAACGGGAATTTCAGGAAGCACAAAAGCTGACCATTAGAAGCTATTTTAACTTACAGCTCATGTGGGAGGAAATATCAGGAGAGGAGTGTTAGTGCTGAAAAGGAGCACTGATGAGAGCAGAGCAACACCACGCAGTATGCATTCACTGTTTAAAAGCCAGGGTAGAGGCTGGTATTTGGGTGGTTGCATGCAGACCAGCAGTCTGGGGCTGGTTTTGGTCCTTCCCAGGGACCAGGGAAAGTCAGGGCTTTACAGGTTGTTTGGGAGCAGCCCAAAGCCTGAAGGTTTAACCTTCACAATTGAAGCAGTGCAGTTCTGTTCTCAGCCTGGTAGGGAACAGAGCAAGCAACAGAGCTCTGTGGGAGGGATAAATTCAGTCCTCACTTCAGCTGTCACTGTGATGCAGGCTGAACTGTGGCAGGGAGGCTGCAGCCTCGGAGCTCTGTTACTGTAGAGTTCTGGTAAGCAAAGAAGTGAAGTAAATGCTCCATAAGTCTGGGGAGGGGTTTCAGAGCCTGTTTGTAAAACACCTGCTGGTAGAGCTGCCTGGTGGTGGCAGTGAGGGACTGTGTGTGTTCCTGTGCTCCTTTTCAGAACCATAGGGTACTTAGGGTTGGAAGGGACCACCAGAGGTCCACTTGTGCCAACCCCTGCTCAGAGTGGGTTTTGAAGAGCAGTGCTTGGGGTGCCCAGCCTGCAAGCACCCAGGGTGTGCTGAAGTCCTTCCCAGCACCTGACATCTCTTAAGGGTACCAGTGGGACAGGCAGCACCATTCCCTGCTGTTACAGACAGCAGTAGCTGCCATTCTGGGCTTAGGAGGGGCTGAATTCATGGAGCTGTGTGCCAGAGCTGTAATGTAAGGCATTGCTGCACACAAAGACATGCAGAGCAGTCTGTCAAAAACTTTTGTCCTTTAATGCATGCCAATTTGCAGAAGATGAAACTTTTTCCACACCAACTCTTTTGTTGTAATGCTTCAGAATGTTTTGCTCTCACTTTGTTTAATGAAGCATTGTGATGCCTCAGTTTAAAATTCATTTAATACCTGAAGAGGTTTTTTTTTCAGGGTAAGGGGAACCAATACAGAAGAAGCGGAGCAGACCTTTGGTTTTGAATTTTCAGAGGACAAAACACTTTGCATTTCAGGACAGGAAACTGTCCTGAAATATAAGAGGGGTTTTCCAGGCTGAAAAACCAGTTCTCCACACTGGGGAGGCTTTTCAAAGTCTCACATCAGACATGCAGTGGCTCAGGACAGACTCAGGCACCATTCAGAGCCTGCTGTGATTGTATGAGGACACCAGATGCTGCTGCCTGCTCTCATGTGCGTTAGAATCATAGAGACATAGAATGGCCTGGGTTGAAAAGGACCACAATGATCATCTAGTTCCAACCCCCCGCTACATGCAGGGTTGCTAACCATTAGGCTACAGGAAGGGACGTCAAGTGGGCATGCCTCCAGCCCTGCACAGCCTGGTGTAAATAGCACTGATTGAAAGCATCATCCTCTGCATCTACTTTGCACATTTGCAATTTTGTCTCCCTGTACTGATGCCACATGGCTGTTTTCGTTCTGGTGTATCTCCTCACAGCCTCAGCTGGTGACACAAGGAGCATCTCAGGAAGGCGGCCCTCAGGGAAGCGGTGACATGGACGCAAACTCAGCGTCTGCCATGCAAGGTTAGAAATTGGACAACCTGGATCCTCCAGGGCTCAGTGTGGAATCGTGCTCCTAGCAAAGCACACGCATGTCCCCACAGCCGCTCACTGGCTGCAATGCTTCTGCAGATCTGACCAACAGAGGAGTGTTTGGAAGGGCTCCAGGAACACAGGAGGGAAACACATTTCTGCCATCTGATTTGGTGGTGACTACTTGAGTAGAAGGGGAGGCAGAAAGCAGGGGACGGGCAAAGTCTCTATATGACTTCTTACTGACATAAATTTATCTGCGGCAATGGCTGCTGCTGTGGTACAGCTGAGTGAAATCTTCAGGCTGTGTTAAGATAGCAGGCTCTCACTTTCTAGTGAAGGTCTTACCTTACCTAAAACTGTGAAGAGCCCTCAGCATTTGGGATGTGCTGGTGTTACAGATTTGTCCCAGTCTGTTTCTTGTAGTCGGATCTCTCCTTCCAAGCTGTGCTCTGTGACAGCACATGGGAGATGTTCACATATCAGCAGCACAGCAGTCATGACACTGGCGCGTTTCTAGGCAGGGCTATGAGCTGCTCTGAGATGAGGTGACAAATAACAGGTGTTACTGTCCTGGGAACACACAGATGCACCATCCAGAGCCCCAGTTGCATTGCAGCCGTGGGAAAGTACAAATTCAATGCAGCCCGTGCTGCTGAGGGCTGCCCTGAACTAAGGGCCAGCAAAACCTGCACGCAGCTGAGCCCTACCTCCAGGGAGCATCACAGGAGGTGATTCATTACGTGCTTTCCCCTGAGTGGGAGGTGGCAGAGAGCCAGCAGCCCAGGAGGGGCAGATGTTGCCTTGCTTTGCCATGTGGTCAGCACAGCTGCTCCCTGTGCTCCTGCAGCACACCGTGTGAGAAGTGAGCCAACTGACACCGGGCGGGCAAACCAACCCCGGGTTCATACAAAGTCCCTGGAAATGCAATGTGATAAAACTGAAGCAGTTGGCCTCAGCTGCTCAGTTCAGCTTCCTCTGGGGCTCCCACTCCCATATCGCTTCCTGCCACCCAGCTGTGCACTGACAGCAGCAGGGCTGTGGGCGGGGAGCTCACCCACAGCACCTTCCAATGCTTGGGCATGACCCAAATCCACAGCCTGTGTGAATGTTCCTTCTCCCTGCAGTCTGGGCAGCAGCGTGAGCATGCTTCCCTCCTTTGCACTGAGGTAGGACCAGATGTGATGAAGCAGCATCACTGTGGTCTCTGTGGGTCTAGGCTTAACTTGCTTATCACTGCTTCTCATGCTGCCCTGAGATCTGCTACTAGGAGCCTGCAGCATGGTCTTCTGCTCTGGGCACAGACAGAGCTTCTAGCTACTGTGGGGTTGATCAGTTTGCTTTTTCCTTTCAGGTACGGGCTTTGAGTCCCCATGCTGTGGGAGGGCCCAGAGGAGCTGTGTGCCTCCTGGTCCTGCAGACTGGTCCTGCACAGCTCTCAGTGGGGAAAGGCATTTGTCCCAACTTCGTGTCTGCAGCATTAAAAAGAATTCCCAAAATAAACAATGGCCACCTCCCTGCCTTTCAGTCAGGCCTTTCTGGGGAGAATAAAGAAGCAGGAAGAGCTGAACGAGATATGTGCAAAACTTACAAGCCTGCCCTGGAGCAGCAAAGAAAGAAGAGCTGCTTTAGAGCTAGCCTTTTATTTTTCCTATGGCCTTTGCAGCTGGGTATCCAGCTCTGATTTTCCCATGTGTGTTTGCATAGCAGAAGCCAGGGAAATCCACAAAGACTGTAGCTCAGAGGCTCTCAGTAGCCCCACTCAGGGGCACACTGCCAGGGGCTGCCATTCACGTCAGGCTTCAGCCTAAAGCCAGCACAGCAGCACAGAAATGCTGCTGAGAAGTAATTTGAGTGCTTGGGAACAGATCCTTACTGCCTTTTAACCTCGCTCTGGCTCTGCAATAGGGCATCTGAGCAGACCTCTAACTCTCTGTCTCCCATTATCTTTCCCTATAGGCATCACTGGAAAAGACGGTTTCAAGCCCAGCAAAGCTGCTGCTGTTCGGAGGTCTCTGAGCAGCATCGCCGCCGCAGCTCAGTAGTGTGCTGCCTGCTCACGTCCTGCTGGAGCCAGAGGACAGGAAAGCAAGCAGCATTCTTACTGTCATATTTCAAATTGTTCTCTGCGATGATTTTGGCTGCGCTTTTCCCTCTGTTGTCTGCTGGCTTACCCCAAACATCCAAGCAGACTTAAGGGACAAAACAACAAATGATATCTCAGGGAGATGCCTTCCTCAGTTTGTAGTACGTTTTTTGAGGATACTGAACTTTTTTAACAGTGCTACAGTGACACAGTGCCTTGAGCTGCCACAGGTAGTGATAGTTCAATAGGGTGATGGTGTTGTCTCAGTTATATACACATACAGGAGAGGAAAACAATCTGCATAGCTGGCCATTGGACTCACATCATACCACCTCTGGTACATGATGGTGTAGTCCAGGAATTAAATTTTGTTGATTTGCTCATAGGGACTGCGTCTGAAAGATAGAGTTCTCCCCTCACTATACCACAAAGGAGAAAACAACCAAAAACCAACTTGACGGCATTTCCAGCTTACCTACAGTTGTTGCTCTAGTGGTCAGCAACTTGGATGCTTTAGAGGAAAGCTCACACCCCAACACACACCTCAGGGATTGACTCTGAAATATTTCTCCTGGTGCTAGCAGCTCAGGGCCATCTTCCATACCTCGCTGCTGCCTCATGGCACAGCCCCTGGATTTATACCAATTTTCATGAACATGTTTACAAAGCTTAGTTACAGCCACTGGATTTCATCACTTCCAAGGAGTGTCTGTAGAGAACCAAAGTGACTCAATGGCTGCTGTTTTGCAGAGCTTCAGGTTACAACTAAAATTACCGTTGCACCTGCGTGCATAATGTGCTCTGTGGGGTCCTCTAGTGTTGCAGCTGTGCAAACAAAAGCTGGCTGCTACCTCTCAGCCAGCAGCACTCACGTCAGCTCATGCTTCTAGTGTCGAAGAGCATCTTGCTATGTTCTGAGGAATGGGGATATTTCCCTTATCCCCTTGCAAACAGCAAAATCCTGACGGTATTTTCTATCTGGTGGATTCTCTGCCTGCCTATTAGAGGAATAAATTGGGTATTTCAATTATCTTTGACAGGATGTAAAATTGGCTAGCTCTACAGTGTTAAATATTTAAACAGAACATAATTGGCTTTAAATTTATGGCGGCTCATAGCAGAAACTCATGAAATGGCGGTATGTATTGAGCTCATTTATTATCCTTTCATTGTGTCTGTTTCCTTAGCAGGAATGTATTTAATACAAGAAAATACCTGCAGGCATAGGAGTTAAGAGGAAGGGCTGACTGGGGAGAGAGAATAGAAAAAAACACACTTTTTTTCCCTCTCGGTCACTTTGTCCAATCTGCCCCGTTCAGCATCAACCAGGGGCCTGACCCGGTGACTGTGCTCTCAGGTTTGCCCTAACAGTAGTTTCTTGTGTATGCAGTTTGGTGGTTTGGGCAGAAAACCCCATCAGAGAACTCTTTGTGCCTCCCCTGCTCCACAGCAGGGAAATCAGGGATCAGGTGCATCACAGGGGGTGACCTGAGCCCGCAGGATGAGGCAGACTGCCTCCTGCTGCCTGCTCACATCAGCTGGGACAACATGTGTGAGTCTGTCCCTGCTGACTGCTCCTCTGAGTTCAGGGCAGGAAACTGATCTTCAGTGGACATGAATTCATCTGCCGTTCATGTCTGCATTCAAAGGGCACTCCAGTGATCAAGATATCTTACCAACTTCTTTGCCTGATTGGTAATTGAGACAGATTTAGTATTTTTCTTTCAAGAATGTACTGTGTACTTCATTGAGCCCTATTACCTGAGAGCAGTAACTGCAACCACGAGGGACTGAAATCTCAGCTTCTCTAAATGGATTTGGTTTGGCATCTGTATGACTCGAGCTTTTCCTATGAAAACCAGGCAAACTTTCCATAGCTGGTGACGTGGTGCAGGGGTGGAATCTGCCTCAGCCAGATAGTAAATGCTCTGGGATCAGATCAGTAGCATTGCGTTGGGAATATAAGTACTCCTTCTCTTGGAAGCAAAACATACAGCATTTGCTACCTCTCAGCTGGGAAACCATGGGAGAAAACAGGAGCCTCTGAAAATGTAACTGCTTTAGAGCAAGCAGAATTCCATGCTCATTTGGGCTACTCTGCACATAGTCAAAATCCCAATCCATAACTTCAGCTTCCACTTTTATGCAGAGACTTGGAATGAAAGCCTACAAAAGGCAGGCGGAATTCCAGTCTTCTTCAGAGAAATAGGGTCTCACCCTGGATTTTCTTATTTGAAATAACCAACACTTTCTTTTTGCCATAGCTAGTCACATGGTCAGTGCAGCCAAATCCAGCCAAATCCTACCTCTAAGTAAATGCCTTTCCAGTGTTTCTAAGCTTGGACAGTTTGGGTCTGAATCGTAAACAGGTCACTGCAGTTGGATTAGAACAGAGCAGATGAGAGATCTGTTATCCAGCAAAGCTTTAAGACTCTCATAAATGGTTCCAGTTTGGACGTAGGCATAAAAAGAGTTGGCAATTTGCAAATGAACCTTGGAGTTTATTTTTAATAAAGGTATAAAACTTCTAGTACCTCAGGCATCTGCTCTGCCTCTTCTGTGTTTAACAGCCTCAGCACATGCTCACATCACTAGCCACGCTTGTTTCTGTATCTGAACCAGATTACCAAGCATTATAAAACATGACAGTTACTCGGAGCACCCACAGACCCATAAGAAAACAATAACCAGCACGAATGATGCAAGGAAAACCGCCCTGCCTAAACCCAAGTGTTGTGCCTACCATATATCTTCCCGCGCCTTGTGAATGGCTTGATCAGGATACAGGATAATTCTGCTTCATCCATGCACTTAGAATTCTCTACAGCTTTTGTCTATGCCACTCAGAGGTGGCTGACTGCAGAGCTTGCCATCTGAAGCCTTCCATGTTTCCTTCAGACTTTGAAAGAAGAGGGGAATTCACTATGTACAAATTTACCAACAGGTACTGGGGATACACTCCAGTTTTCCCCAGAAAATGTAAGCAGGGAAAAAAGAAAATCACACAACATTTCATGTAAATTCTTTCATTATATTTCAATGCTTAAAACACAGAATACTTGAATTCAATTACATCATAATGCTTCTGCTAGGTTGCACATACACTTCCAAGAACTGTGAGCGAAGGTGCTACTGAACTAAAAGAATACTCCAGTACAAGCCCAGCAAATATCCATGATATTCTTCTAGTCTTATTTTCCATACTTCTTTAACCCAAGGGCAGTTGTCACAGGACAAAACCTACTGCAGCAGGAAGAAGAGTTGAAGAGAATTCCCCTGCAGGAGTGTTTGTTATACAAGCTTTATCTCAGCACTGATGCAGAATGAGGTGTGAGGTTTTGTACTGCAGCTGGCAGATGCACTGCTCAGCACTGCGCAGTGGTCTGAGGAAACAGCCCAGCTTAGGTTGCCCTTTCTGGAGTGTATAATGACAACACCAACACAAGTTTCCATCCCAGAATTAGAGGGATCGAATGCTGGCAGGTTGGGATAGCCATGCACCAATGCCACCAGTCATGTCCCTGCCCTGCTGCAGAGCACAGGAGGGTGACAGGCAATGAGTGCCTGCTGCTGAAGGGAGGAATGTAATGTCTCTGCAGCTGGCTGTTCTCAGTGAGCACTTGGAGGCGATAAAGAAACGGAAGCTAGGGCTAGAGGAACGGGTCTGCTTTTTTAGCTGCTCACACAAGCATAACCTCTGGGAAGGCCCAAAAACAGTGGCCTCCAAATTCAGATTACATGGAGTATTTGTACCCACACCCTCCTTCCAACAACCTCCCTAGAGTGCCAACACCAGCAGCCTGGGAATGTCTCCTGCCATACCTTACCAGGCCTTGAGGACAGGCCATTTTCTACGGGTACTGACACTTTTATACTTCCCTTTCATAGCTCTCTGGTTTTTAAAAGAGAGAGAGACTGAAAAATTAAAGCAACTTAGTCCCGCAAAAATGTCAGAAGGGAAGCTGGGTCAATCAAGGCAGGGCTAGTGAGCTGTTCGCTGCGGGGTCAGTGGCATGTGTCCAGAAAAGGGTTCAAAAGAAGAAAAATCACAGTGGGGAGCAAAATACAGCACTTAGGAGAACAAAACTAGCTTGGAGGCCCAAACTTGCAACAAAGCATTTTACCTGAATTGCCACTAGTGAAACACCTCCTTATGAAAAGCTCACCTTTAGATCTGCATTCAAATTTTGGCTGGCCCTGATTCCCTTTTAACTCATGCTGTGGATGGAATAGGATCTGACAAAAGCAGGTGCTGCAAAAAACAAACAAACAAACAAACAAACAAAAAGCAAAACCAAACAAAAATATCAGTAGTGATCAGTACATAGCTGGGCACTGATGCTTGTGTGCAGGCTGTGCGTGCAGAGCACCATGAACACAGCAGTGAAACAGTCTGATTTGTGCATTCACCTCCAGGGACATCAAGCCACCACCCATCTAGGAGTGAGAGACAATCTCTGCAGATTGCCATATTGGACCCTCCATAGTCCTTTCTGCCATGCTCTGTGTTTGCACTGTGAGAGCACAGCCTGGATCCTGCCGCCATTCCCTAGTCTCTGTGCTGGCCAGTAGCACCCTGGGCTGGTGGCCACCAAAAACGCTGCAGAGAACAGCGCTCATCCTGCACGCCAAAATGGCCAGAGACCCCTATTGCACTCCTTCCCACAGCCCTGATGGAATACTGGCTGAGAGGTGTTTCAGGCTTACTGGAGAACTACTGGCTTACCTGTCAAGACCCACCTTCTGCATTAGCAAGTAGCGCAAGCAGAGGTTAACACAAAACTTTGTTTCCTTCAGCAGGAAGAAGGCTCTGCAGGTCAATCAGGTAAGGAAGTAACCAGATGTTCAGCCACCTCTGGGCAGACATTGTAATGTAGAGCTAAGACCTGATTTTCTTCATTCAAAAGAAAAAAGTTTAAGGTTTAATATTCTCTCTGCTTGATAAAACTTCCCTGAGCTGAAGCAGGTAGGACACACGGTACCACAGCCCCACTTCTGCTTGACTCCTCTCTCTGGCTCAGGCACCACCATTCCTAGGTCAGCAGCAGGGAGTCATGTAGCCAGACATGGCAGCCCTGCCTCCAGCTGTGTGGTTTCTCCTCCTTCTACACGGCAGCCTTAATTTGGGATATTCAGCCACTTCCTCAGCTAGGGTGTTACCAGCCAGATGTTCACCATTTCACATTTTAGAACTAGCAAATTCCCCATGCTGCAGTGCCAGCCCAGGCACACATTTGTCAGCATCACACAAGCCACAAGGGGAAAAGCCCATGGTTTGTGTTTTCCCCTGTGCCTCCATGGTATGTGCCTCCAATTTACCACTCAGCTAGAACCATCAGTTTCCCCAGCTGAAGGAGGAGGCTTTGCCACCAGCCACCCTTCCAGGGTCTGCCAATGCTGCGGTCGCTGCACAGAGGCTCATTCACTGTTCTCGTTCGGATCTGGTGGCACAAACCCAACAGGTAAGCTGTCTGGAACATGCATCTCTCCTCTTTCCCTGATCCAGAGAGCACACAGATGTGCTTGGATAGTTAATCTACAACAGAGTGAGCGCTATTTCTAAGCACACAGCTTGGTAGGTGGTGTCAGTCAGCACCAGCCCAGAACCTGGAGCAGCATGGCAGCTCAGGACCTTGTAGTAGTAGTGGACACACCTAAAACTGCTACTGCCATTGTAAAGGGTTTCCTTCCCAAAGCAGTGACTGTTTCCAGCACGTGAGCCCATCTGTAATGCAACCCAGCAGCGTGACCAGTTGGGCTCAGCCCATGAGTCATGACTCAGCCACACTCGTGAGAAGTCGCTGGTTTGGTGGCTCCATCCTTCCCAATCTCGGCACAATCCCAGAGCAGGGGCAGGTACTGTTCATGCATTAATGGCATTGGCAACGTCTGTGAACACAAGACGGCTGGGTCTTTGGAGGGCTCCTTGGCTCGTCAGCAGAACCTGCATTGAAGCAGTGAAAGATGAGACCCAGCAAGTCCGCCTTACTTTGGTGCACGGCCCAGGGCACAGGCTGTGCAGCACTGTAACTAGATTCAGCCCCTTACTAAGGACAGCAAGGCTGGTAACAGAGCTGGGAGGCATGTTCTGTGAGGACACCTGGGCTGTCCAGTCTGGGGAAAAGGTAGCCTCACTGCTCTCTGCAGCTCTCCAAGGAGGGAAAGCAGAGGGAGGTGTCAAACACTGGTTCTTGGAGCCAATGGTAGGAGGGGCATGGCACAGAGCTGTGCTATGGGAGGGTCTGATGGGGCAGCAGGGAAAATTTCTTTGCTGAGTTAAACACTGGAACAGCCTTCCAAGACAGGATTGGTGCCCCACGGCCTGTCATTATTCAAGAGGCATTTGGACAATGCAGTATGTTAATGTATGTTAACTCGTGATTAGCCCTGAAGTGGTCAGGCAGTTGGACTTGATGACCTTTGTTCCAACTGAACTATTCTGTTCTATTACTCTCTTTTTTATTCTTCTCTACTCTTAAGGTGGGGCTGATATACTAACATGGCATCAACAAGGCTATAAGAAAAATACAATAAGCCAGAGAACAAATCAACACATCCATGCCAATTTAAAATGCTCACATCATGGATTACTGAGTGTAGGTTTTCTAGGATTGCAAAGACTTGCCATGTATGTTTCACCATCTATATGCGCAAGAGCAGCATGCAAAGAGTTGAAATCTCAAGAAGATCTGGAAACATGCCAAAAACTGAACCTTGGCTGCTGTTTTAGACTGCTTCTCTCACTACAGTAAGCCATTAAACTAGTGTGCTTTCCCAGTAGAAGTATCTGTGCATTAGCAAGCTCCAGAGGGAACATAGGTATTCTGCTGGCCAAGCACTACACAGGGAGGATACACTCTTATTGTTCTAAGTTCAACTCTAGCCTTGTCATTTCCCCTCTTTACTACCTGAAGGGAAATCCTCTGTGTGCTCTGACAGAGGAACCTGATGTTTCCCCTGTACATACTGCTCATAGGACAGGATCCTTTGCTTTCATACATCTGTATTCCTCTGCTTTCCTAAAATGGCGTATGGAATATGTTGTTTATCTTCCATGTTCTAATACACCTCCAGCATGTTCTTTGGCAGGTTGGGAAGCATCCCTCAAAGTGAATAATTTTATAATTACAATTGTATTTATTTTCTTTTTTCTTCCCTTCTGCCCACACCAAGCTTGCTACAGGTTACCTGAAAGTGTCAAGTATGTGAAAACTGAGGCATGTTGGGAAGAATTCCTGCTCCTGGAACTGGAAAAGCAAGGGAAGAAGTGAGCAACATGGAACATCTGGAGAGGAATTCAAAAAAAGGAGACATGTCTACTCTAAGGGGAGGCTGCACCACTTGCCAGAAGACGTACCTGTTCCAACTATCCCTGCTGGCTCTGTCTTTGAGAAAGGCTTTTTGTGTGTGATAGCAGTGACAAAAGAAACAGAGAACACTATGAAACTAACTGCAAACAATGGTGAGAGCTCTCTATCCAGCAAGGCTGGCCTGGAAGTCCTGCCAAGATCAGATGTGCCATGCCATAACAACATGAGGCTTTCTGACAGCCTTCCTCAGGACCTGTGGTTAACTGTTACAACTACTGGCTTTACATTCACAACACCTTGTTCTACACTTGTAGCCTTCAGCAAAGCAGATATACCTTAAAACTGGGTGGAAATGTCTTATTTTCAGGGCTGGCACCAGAGAGCCTCTGTACTTTGTAAGCAGTGGAGCCTCCTCTCCTCTCCCATTCATCCCATTTGCCCTAGGTGGTAAACTGCTGTAAACTCAAAGTCAACTGAAGAAATTGCATTGTTCTCTCTTCTAGCTGAGTTGTGCCTGCACTTACCCTTCCCAGGCTTGTTGTCCTAGTTGCCTGACTCTTCAAACCATCCTAAACTCTAAAATTCTCAAGGCCCCCATCTCCAGAACTGGGTGAGGTGAAGGGAGCCCTCTTGAGGTCTCACATGATTTCCTTACAGTACAATTTCACAGAAACTCCTCATCTGTATGAGAACTATTGAGTCACGCATTGAGCACGTGGGGAAAGGACTGAGTCAAGCTCTGGGAGCACAGGTGAAGGCAGTTCAGCTGTGTGACAGGAAGGGGTGGAGCCTGGCTGCACCTCTCTTAGATCTCATTTGAGGGCTGACTGTCACTGGAGGAGGATTTCTTTTTAGAGATGCTTCCTCAGTGAAGCTTTCTCCTGTGAACCTGGAATTTTCTGATAGGGGTAAGCAATCTTCTTCCCTTTCTCTATAGCACCTTTCTATTGTGCTAGTCCTTTTGTCATCACACCTTTGTTGTAACAGCTTTCCCAGTGTATTGATCTATCCAACTGCTACATCATCAACAGCAGGGCAGGAGCCAATGGCTGCAATAACACCCTGGCCATTACTATCTTGCTGCTTACCTTGCTCTGTGATGCCTGGGAAGATGCTGCATCTCGCCCATGTTCAAGGAGCTCCTGCTCCAGTTCATCCTGTTCTTCAGTGGGATCAAAGTTGTACATTGGCATGAGCTGGTGTCGTAGCTTCTCCAACCTGCCCGTGGAAGGGAAAGCAAAGACTTGGTTGAAAAACTCAATAGACAGAAGGACAGATGCTCAGGCTGTCTTCTCTGCTCCACTACTGAGGCATTTTGCAAGCTGTTTTTCCTTCTACAGCTCTTGGGATTCAGCTCTTGTTGCTGCTTGCTAGATAGCATTTATGTTCCCATCCTATGGGAAGGAGGATAAGAACCTGCTATACAGCTGGAAGGAGTGGAAGATGCCTAGAGAACAGCTCCAGGGATCAACTGCCTTCACTAATCTATGTTGGCAGGCATTACGCACAGAGGAGTCAAACAGGGACTGGATTTTAAGTTCCTGCAGACCTTAAAAGCTCAGGACAAGCCTTATGTATTGGGAAAAACAAGAGGGTGGAATGTAATGGCTGTGCATTTTGCAACTCCTCTCCCTGTCTCTCTGCCTGTGACATCCAGCCCTGTCAAATCACACTATGCCTGCCAGAAGGGGTCTGGTTTTAGCTCCAGCAACTTGAGAGCAGTACTTCAACTATGGACTTGAAGTGTGTGTGTGTGTGTGTGTGTATATATATATAATTAAAAAAAAGTAATAATAATTAGAAATGCAATAAATAGGAAAGAGAGACTGATGCCTGCAGACTGTTCTTAATCTTATTGCTTCACGTGACAGACATAACAAATTGCCCCAGAGAGTCTCCCTAAATACTGGGCAGGTGAGTGACGGAGGATGGATGGGTGGACATATTCCTGTGAAAACACTTAAGCTGTATCTGAGCTTTTTGAGGTTAGGGGAGGGAAATATCCAAGCTGTTACCGGCAGTGTCACCACAATTATCTATTTTGGAAAGTGTTAGGATGACACACTCCTGCTGTGCCAACACAGCCATTATCTCCAGCAGCTATGTTTACGGTCAAGCATCAGCTCCTCCTGGAGCAGTACCCAGATCTGGGCTTGAAAATTTTGTAACAGGCAGCAATACTTCTTGAAGGTCTGTGGCCCTGCCTTAAGGAATTAGGCAGGGAAGAGGTACCATATGTAAAGGTTGTGTACCACCGTCTTTGCTGTCAAAGATGAAAGGATCAAGAAACATCTTCCTGCATGTTGCTCTCCTCTCTATTTTCCGCCAAGAGCTTAAGGAAATTAATACACTAAGTCTTGGACTAGGAAGCTGCATTTCTGCACTATGCTGCTGGCATTGCTGTGACTGAGGCTAAAGAGGCTTTCAGCCTTGCAAGGTCAGCATCATTAACTCAAGCTGTTGGAAAGCACAGATCGTGGAATGAGACCCACGCTTCTCACAACAGAGTTTCCAGCTTCTTTATCCACTCATAATCCTTTCCTCTCTTTTAATGCATCTAACATAAGAAGCATAAAGAATTTGCAGGATCCCTAACCTCCTCTTGCTCAACCATGTTTTTCCTTCTCAAAGCTCCACAGGAGCCTTTGAAGCTCTGCTGCTAAAGGTGGGCAACACCAGGAGTGCGGAGCCCCTGCCCTGTGTTGTTTACAGTCAGATGCTGGATTGTTCCCTTGAACTCTCCTCATCTTCCCCTCCAATTCGTAGCCCTACCTGGATTTTGAAACACTGAGTTCCTTACAGCTAACAAGAGATGTTACTTACCTCTTTCTCTTCCTGATATACAGAACCTGAAGGAGAAAGAAAATCATCATTAGAAACAGCAGCATGGGGAACAACTGGGAAGAAGAATTTTGGGTAGAGAGCACCCAGAGGAGGTATAGCAAGTCTGATGTCATTGTGCACCAAAGCAGAGGAAAGCGAAAAGTGACAGAAGTGACAACTGGAACTGATGTTCTGTATACATCAGTGTAAGCTTAACAGTGCATCAAGGCTGACACTAGTGCTTGAGTGGCCTGCTATTAGGTGTGTTAGTAGTAGTCAGAATGTTAGGTGTGTTTTAAGTGTAGCTCAGCAGATTTCTAGTGGCTGGAGGCCATATGTTGCAGTTTTAGAATGGTTGAAGAACCTTCTCTTTGTAGTATTCTCCTGAAGATTTCCTACAGCATAGAAGCAGTTACCCCCTCCCCAGTACAAAGGGAAGAAGGAAAGAGGGCATGCTCAGTGACTTGCCTCGTGTCAGCCAGTAAGAGTGGCTGTCCTGGGAGGAAAGTGAGGCTTTTGGCCTCCAGAGCCTTGTTCCGAGAACTACGAACGCTGGCTGTTGCTCTCGGGAACTTATGACCATTTCCAGGACAGTGTTTCCAGGTTCTCTTTAGGGGCTTTTGGAGAAACTCCTCCTTGGGTCTGCAATGAAATTTTGCAGTAGTCCCTTTCCATAGGCTCCTCTGCTGCTTGTATTAGCGAAGCCCTTCCTCACACGAGGAACGCGAGCTTGCTGCTACCTTCATTCTCTGTTGGTAGGTAAATGATCCAGTTATATATTGAAAGAACTGCAGTGCTTGCATTGTCTGTCAGACTCAGAACTATAGCTGTTGATTAATGGCAGGGTTAGTTACATGCAGCAAATCCTTGAGGACTCTGCTGATGCCCGAGCAAGGAGAACCTCAAAAATGCAGTCTAGAATGAGTCTAGCAAAAACGGATTCAGTCTGCATCAGTTCAAAAAGACATGCCCACAGAGATTAACAGGGTCCAGGCCTGCTTTAAAAGTTAAGCTGGATGAACTTTCCTATGGGACGCTGGTGTTGACAAGGTTTAAATCAATGCAGCTGTTCCAGTTAACAAGTCAAAACAGACTGACTTGTCAGTCTGCCATTGCTTATTTCAATTGAACTTCCTGTTGCTATTAAAAATAAATACTAATGTTATTTATGGTTTCCTCTAGACCTGCTGAGCAGCCTGCTCTGCCTAGACCCCAGGGAGACAGAAGAAATACTGGAGCATCATTCCTACCAGCTCTAGGTATGACTTTAATATAATATAGAAGTTCAAACCAGCCCTAGAACCCCGTTGCCACCCTTCACCCGCAGCAGATAGAAATACTTAGTAGTGTCTCTTACCATAGCTACAGCCAACCCAATCACAGTAATGATCCCAAAGGACAGCAGCATGGCGCTCATGCTGGGTCCGCTGCTGGCCACATCTGGGATTTTGGTGCTGTTGAAGCTAGTAGTCTCAGGGCTCACAGTAGCTGTTTCTGGTACAGTTGCATCCAGAGTTGTTCCTGCGTCTGGTTTGGTTATTGTGGTGCTGCTGTGGTATAAGTCACGTGCAGAAGGTGAGCTGGAATTCATCCTGCCAGCTCTTAGCATCTTTTACCAAGCTGCTGTGCCCTCCACTCAAGAGACAGGTGCCAGCTACAGCACCAGAGAGCTTCCCCTCGTTTCAAGGACCCTCACGTGTGATCTACCTCACAGCCTCATCAATGATGGCTTTTCTGTGTAGGAGCCACACAAGTTTCTTCCTAGGAAAGAATGAGAACAGATGCACAGTGCAAAGCTCTTAGAGATGGCAGAACCTTTTCCACAGCTTAACTAGTATAGTTTTCGAGAGCAGCTCACAGATGCCCACTCAATTTTTTTTTAAGTGCATTTTTCAGAGGTACTGAGAGCCCCCAACGTCCTGCCTGGTTTAGTCACCACTTAACTGAGCTGAGGTCAGTCACCACTTGCTACTTCAGCTTGGCCTCCCTGCAGCAATTGGCAGAGCTGTGTAGTGTCTCAGAACCCCTCTGTCTTCAGTCTGCTACAGGATGAGCTAGGCAGCCTTCATCCATACGACAATAACAGGACCTCTCTTCTTTTCGTCTTTTGCTTTCAACTTACAGAAAGTTTCAGAGATCTCATCCATCAAAATGGCACTCAGCTCTGACACATCTGTATTTTGGACCCAGTAAAAATCACCCTGAAGTATCACAGAATGGCCAGGGTTAGAAGGGACATCAAGGATCTCCAACCCCCCTGCCATACTCAGGGCCACCAACCTCCACATTTAATACTAAACCAGGTTGCTCAGGGCCCCATCCAACCTGACCTTGAACACCTCTAGGGATGGGGAAACCACAGCCTCTCTGGGCAGCTGTTCCAGCACCTCACCACTAGAAGTAGAACTTCCCTGCTGTGGTGGTGGCTGGTGATTAATAAGTCACTGCACTATGCACCTCTCCGTTGTCCCTCAGCCCACGCACTCTGCAGAGGCAGCTTCTTTAAAGCAGTGGGTTGCACCAGTCCCCATCTGCTACTAAAGATGGTATTTCTACAGTCTCCCATGAAAGCACCCACACAGGCTTACTCATGCACCGCTAATTATTGGTATTAATTTTAAAACTGATCCCATTTTGGATTGGAGTTGTGCAATTTGACAGATACACTCATACTGAAAACATGAAAGGCTTTAATTGTTTCATGTTTCTATTGTGCAAATGATCAGGAGTTGCAAAACACCATGGGATGATTCTACAGGAAGTATTTGCACAACTTCGTTTATAAGATCTCTGTATGTGACATCAGGTCCACAATTACTTTAGTGAAACACAACTACCTCTGGAGCAGAGCGGTGCAGATCTCAAGAACTACCGCAGCAGACTTCTGATCATTTTTCTGTAGTTCAGCAGACATTACATCTCCAAACTGGAATGCAAAGGGACATGGGTTAATGAGCTCTGAATAGAAAAAGATGTGCCTGCAAAGATAAATGAGCCGTTGTTCAGCTCCACTGTTCTATTCTGGGCAAGGTTATTGCACACTTCTCATTACTGTGATGCCTCTCTGCCGTCCACGGCTGCATTAAGCAGCACGATTAACATCTGTCACTACCAACCAAAGCAGAGCCATCGTGCAAGGCAAGCAGCAGCGGGGCCGGGCGGGGTCCGCCAGCAGCACGAGCGGGCGGTCAGCTCATACGGCGCTCGTCCCGGGCGCGCAGGTCTCTCCCACACAACTTTGTGAAGGAGGTGGTGAGAGACGCCGAACCGCCACGAGTTTCTAAATCAGCGTGAAGGTAGACGGCACTTGTGCTCCGGTCCCGCCTAACAGCGTGGCGAGAGGCGGCTCACCGCGCCGATCGGAAGGCGTCCCTCACCGACCGAGCCGCCCAGGAAGGGGCGCCCCGCGCTGCCGGCACTACGGCACGGGCTGCGCCGGGAGGGCTCCGCACAGGGCAGCGCGGCGCCGGGCCGCGGGGCGACGGAAGCAGAATGCTTCTTCGGTTGCGCTCCGCCCCTCACGGCGCCGCGGGGGCGCAAAGCGCGAGGCCTCCGCCGCCCTCCCGGCAGCGCCGCGTAGCCGAGCCCGGCCGGCCCCGCCTCCCAGAGCCCGGCCGCCGCCCGCGGGACGGCCGCTCGTCCCGGGCCGGGCGAAGACGGAGTCGCCCCGAGGTTCGCGCCGCTGCCCGGCCCGCCGCCCTCGCGCCCTTCCCCGGAGGCGGCCGCGCTGCCCGCGCCAGGGCCGCCACTTACGCAGCACTGCACGCTGAAGCGGCTCCCCCGAGCGCAGCCGGCGGTGGGGCCGCGCCCTCGACCGCAGGGCCGCGCTGCCCGCAGGGGGGCGGGCCGGCCCCTCGGCGCGCGCCACCGCCTCGCGGCCGGTAGCCCCGCCCCTCCGCCCAGCGCCCCCGAGCGATTGGCCGACGGCCGCGGGTCGCGAGTCGCGGTTGGTCGGCGCTGCCGTCGCTCGCGCGCGCGGCGACGAGGCGGTTCTCTCCCGCGCCGCCCTCGCTGAGGTGAGGGAGCGTGTTGTGGGCGCGCCCCCCCTGCTGAGGTGGCGGGGCCGGGGGCGCTGCGTGTGGCTGGGTGGCTGAGTGGCTGAGTGGCTGAGGCAGAGTCGCCGAGCTGAAGCGAGCTGAGGTAGGGCTGCTGCCGCCCGCGGCAGCTCGCTATGGGCAGGACCTGTACCGGGCCTCGGGTCAGTGAGCCCGCAGAGCGGCTGCGGGAGGCTCGTCCTGCGCTCTGCCGGCAGCAGTGCAGTTAATTCCTTCGTCCTTCTTCCTGTGGCGGTGTCCCGGGCCGCGGGCCTGACTCTTTCTTCGGTTGCTCCGTGCTGCAGCGTTGCCCGCTGGGAGCCGACCCGGCCCCACGTATTCCGAGTTTCTGTTTCTCTGATTTCGCGCTGTGAGCTGTTGTGGTTCCCCCTTGTCTGCAGCCTGGCGATGGGACAACGCGGCAGGCTGCTGACCTACGTAATTAGCCTTTGCGAGCGTACCTGCTAGCCTGAGACTTGGGAGTTTGGAGGAGGAGGAACCAGAAGGGAGTGAAGGGCTTTGTGCAGCGATCCGGCCCGCGATGCTGGAGCAGTCTGTCAGTGGCTTGCGGCAAGCGGCAGGGCTGTGCCTGCAGGCCCGCTCCCTTCTGCTCAGCCACGAGCACCGGGTGGTCTCAGCGTTGCCCGTGGAGCTTGGTTAATCCTTTGTTACTCTTAAGGGTGTGAGTAGCTGGTTTGTACCCGTGGGTGTTGGTCGAGCAGCAGTCTGCATTCCATTCAGAAAGGAACTTGCAGTCTTTGGCTTCTGGGCATTCAGGTTGTACTTCTGTCTCTTCTTTCTAGGCCAGCGGAGCTGCAAGCCTGGTGACCTTTTTCTTCTGCCCTGAGGAGCATCTGCTGATTGTGATCAGGTGGTGCTTAGCCCAAGTGGCTTGTGCACTGAGTGTTGTGTGAGTCTCTTCATGGATTAGATCAGCTGACAGAAACAAGGAGCCCACGTGGAAACCAGGAGGTGACTTTGCAACAATGAGATGCGTCAGCCCCTCACTCTTCAGGAGGTTCTGGGGGCTTTTGCCTCAGTATGTGTCAGTGGGACCTAGTCAAAGTCCTAACCTCAGTTCCAACCAGTCGTCTTTGAGACAGAGCTGCAGTGTAAGACCTGGGCTGCTGACTGCCCCTGATGTGGTCAGCTACTGGCAAAAGGTGTTTGAGAAGAACGGGATCCCTGAAGCACGAGAATCCAGTGAATATATCGTGTCATTTGTCTTGGGAGCAAAAACAGTTGAGTCATGGAAAAGGAGTAAGATCTGCGTGTGCCCCTTGCTTTATGTTTTTGGACTAATCTTACACTTCTTTTTATCTTACTTACAGGAGCTAGAACAGCTTTTCCCTCCCTCAGAGGGCAGAGAGCGTGGGATATAATTTATTAATGCAAGTAAAGTTCTTGGGATCTCCTATGTGCTCTCTTTGCAGGGACTGAAATGTTACCCATGACATATACACTAGCATAACGGCCTGACTGGTGGAGTGATTCTTTATCTTATCTACACTTTAACTACCTAAACTGCAGCCATACAGGTTTCTTGTTAAACAGGCAGATAGGTTCTCCTTGTCGTTTGGGGTTTCAAAGAGTGCCCTCTGTATGTGTTTGTTGTTCTGCTGGCTCTGCCTGCAGGGTGCAGACAACACGCAAGTTGCACAAGTGGGCAGGTTTTAAAGTGATGTTGTCTTCAGTTTCAGAGCTTGGACTCCCAAAAGCTCCGCTCTCCGCTTACAGCAGTGCAGCAGGAGCAGATCCAGCAACTGAGCTGCAAGCGACTGGAAAGGTGGGAGAATCATCTTACTGTCATTCTTGGGAGAGTTTCCTCTAAAAGAGGGAAAAAAGGAGTGGGAAAGAAGGGGGTGGTTCTTTGATTAAATGGAGTTTTCTGTATTTTAATCTGTACCCATTGCCTCTTTTCTTTCAGCTTACATTTTACCACAAAAAAATCTGACTTTATCTTCTTTACTCCCTTCCACCAGATGTATGTAGTTATTGATGAATTTTCCACCTCACTTGAGCTTTTCATTTTCAAGCCAGGTCTGTCCCTGCTTTCTCAGTCCCTTCTTGTATGTCAGGTCCTCCAATCCCTTAGTCATCTTAATGGCCCTGTGTTGGATTTGCTCCAGTACATCCATGCCTTTTCTGTAGTTAGGAGCTCAGCACTGGACACAGAGGACTCTGGTCAGGAGCGACTTCACCTTAGTAAATCCATTCTGTTCTTAACATGTTTGGAAATTATTTCCAGGATTATTTGCTCCCTCAGTTTTTTCAGGATTGAAGTGAGTTGACTGGCCCTTAGTTTCCCCAGTCCAGTGCTTGTCAAGACACTGTTTTGTGGAAGTGGAACTACCAGAGCTTTCAAGGAGCATGTGCATGCGTGTTGCACATGCAGTTGAGAGCCTCAGTGGCGTCTAGATGTCCACCATCAAAGGGCTTGTGTGGTTAGCAATGAAGTAAGCATGGTAGTGAGAGCTTTTTATGTTACAAAGTGTAATCCTCGAGTGTTTTCATTTGTTTTTGCCTGACACAGAATGCCAGTGCAATATGTGCTTGGTGAGTGGGACTTTCAGGACCTGAATCTGAAGATGAGACCTCCAGTATTTATTCCTCGTCCTGAAACAGAGGTATGAAAGTAGGAAACATGGAAGGGTTTTGAATCTACACACTGCATTGATATGAATGTGCTTGGTGGGATTATAGTGATGAAAAGGTCGGATGGTTTCTAAAATAGGGCATCCTAAGCTTGTGACCTGGAACTGGAGCTGGTGAACTTTCACCTTCTGGCTCAGAGAAAGAGATTTTGCAAGCTAGTATGTTCTTTGATTGCACAGAGATCCACCTTCATTAAGGCTTGCTTTTCTTATTTCTGCTGTGGTAGAGACTCCTTGAATATCGTGCCCCTTTACTTCTGTATTGCAACTACTCAGAGTTGTCCAGTGTAGTACAAAGCTACTACTGGAGAAAAGGTTGTGGACTCCATTGGGCTTCTTTGTTTGCATGCAGATTAAGACAGTGCAGGCTGGTAGAAATGGCACCTACTACTCACCTGCTGGCTCCACAGTGATTTCTGGGCAAGTACTGGAAATTGAACTGTTGTTTCCTTTCCTAGGCTGACCCATGGGTAGCTTCTGACCTGGGCTGGATTTAAATGTGATTGTGAATTGTAAAAGTGGAAGCAATAGCCATATACATTCAAATTGAAACTTTATTTTGCCTAGTGTACTAGGAAAAAGCTCAGGAGTTATATAGTGGTGCTTTCTCTAATGGTAGCCTAGCTTTCAGCTTATGGGCACCCTAGTAAGCAAATCTTTGTTTACTGCTCTTTAAGAGTTGCTTTTCTCTGCTGTTTTTGTTTTTCTTCTGATAATTGGTTTTCTTTTTTGCAGTGAATGTTAACTTTTGGAGATGGAATGATTACCATAGCCTGTCCAATTAGAATTCCGATAGACAAATGATCAGAGAAATGGCTCCTGTGCTAGTAGCCCTTTGCTGTATAAAGAATGCTGTTCTGAATGCATTAAGCACAGCATGGCCAGCTGGTAAAAGGTGATTCTCCCACTGTATTTAGCACTGTATTGGTGCTACCTCACCTTGAGTACTCAGTGCAGTTCTGGACTCCACAGTTTTAAAAGGACAGTAAGGTCCTTGAATGCAGCCAGAAGAGGTAATCGCGCAGAATCACAGAATCACTCGGGTTGGAAGGGACCTCAAGGATCATGTAGTTCCAACCCCCCTGCCTAGCAGGGCCACCAAACATACACATTCAGATCAGGTTGCCCAGGACCCCGTCCAACCTGGCCTTAAACACGTCCAAGGACGGGGCATCCACAACCTCCCTGGGCAGCCCGTTCCAGGGCCTAACCACTCTCCTAGTAAAGAACTTCCCCCTAACATCCAACCTAAATCTTCCCTCCTTCAACTTGGATCCATTTCCCCTAGTCCTGCTATTGTCAGCCCTTTTGAAGAGTTTACTCCCCTCCTGGGTGTAGGTTCCCTTCAGGTATTGATAGGCTGCAATGAGGTCACCCCGCAGCCTTCTCTTCTCCAGGCTGAACAAGCCCAACTCCCTCAGCCTGTCCTGATAGGGGAGGTGCTCCAGCCCCCTGATCATCTTAGTCTTAGGTAATGGCTCCCTGAGGAGGGAAAGCAGAGGGAGGTGCCAGGTTCCAGGGAGCTGATGGCAGGATGGGAACAGCATGGAGATGGGCTAGGGGAAGCTGAGACTGGGCATTAGGGAAAATTTCCTTTCTGTGAAGGTTGTAAGGTAAGGTGGCAATGCTCTCAGTAATGTGCTTTTAACTTATGTTATCCTTGCAGTGGTCAGTTCTGTGCTGATGAAGTCTGGAGACAACTGCTCAAGAAATGGTTTTGCTAGTTGGAGCCTGATGATAGTTAGCATTGTTCTTATTGATGGTATTTCTGCAGTGGTTGATTCAAGAGAGTATTTTCAGCCTCTGACTGCCACTAATTCCTGAATGCAATATGAGCACTAAACCCAAAGAGAACTTTCTGCAAATCAAACCATCTGTTGTCAGGCTTCCTCTGGTACTGTGCTCTCATTCCATGCAGTGCCAGGCTTCAAACAAAGGCCTATTGTGTACTGTGGAAACCAGGGCTGCTAATGCCTGTGAATGTTGCTAATGGTGCCCACGTGTGGGATTTTGGTAGGAGCATCTCTGCTGAAAGGCAGTGCCCTGTCAAAATGCAGGACTCTATAACATCTTGTGTTTTAAACCCCTTCGTGTACCCTGGGGCCAAAAGTCTAGCATTAAACAGCTTAACCCAAACCTTGTGTTTGTGGGAAAACTTTATTTGGTGTGTCAGATACTTAATATGGAGGTACGTTTTTAGTACATTTGTTTTGAAAGACCAGAAGCTCACGATAGCTCAGGAATGAAGCTCCATTGGCAATTGAGTTTACGAAGTAGTTCTGCCTCAGCAAGCAGCATCAGCAGACAATAATCTGGAAATGGAAGGTGAACAAATGTGGCCTTTCTTGTAGGGAGCAGTGAATGGCTGCACATTCAGGAGGAAATGAGCAGTGCAGCAAGAGAGAAGGGATGGAAAAAAGAATCCAGGTGGAAGAAGAGCTCAAAAGGAGCAAAACAGATAAAAGGGTCGGGAAGGGCTGGAACAAGCAGGCCTGCAGTCTGGGCCTGTGGATCCGGGCTTGCAGAATGGCTATGGGTCCTGGGTCTGGTGGCTTCTCTTCTACTGAAGTCTCCCCCCAGCTCCTGCTGCTGCCTTCTCTTAAGGTGTTATAGCACTCTGGGAAAGAGCCACTTGGTCTTGAGGCTTGTAAAGTAGAGGAAGCGCGATGCATTAGGAGTTCAGCAGGCTTCTGTCTAAGAGCTAAATGTGTTTGGTTTCCAGCAGCAGTGTGGCACCTTTGCTTTGGCTGCTCGCACTCTTTCTGGTGTCAGGAACTCCTCACGGATGTGCAGAATGGTTGAGGTTGGCAGCAATTTCTGGAGATTTGTCTGGTTTGATTTGCCTGTGTGAAGCAGAGTCAGCTGGAGTTTTTGTCTGTTGATGTTTGTTTAAAAATGAAAAAAAAAAAAAAAAAGTAGAGGAGAGGAGAGTCTTGAACTGTTTTGGAATGCTTTAAACTTTCATGGTGACATAGATGTAACTAAAACAGGCACTCTTAAACCAGGCTACAAAGTTTCTTCTCCTGAGTGGAACGTGCCAAATGATGAAAGAGAGAGTTTAAAGATGAGAGCTTTCACAATAGCTGCTTGCATGTTCCCACTACTTTCATCTGGATTGGGGGAGCTAAGTGCAAGTTCACAGCCAGGATGATTCCCTGATGTTGCTCCATGTAAGTGAGCACAAACTCTTTCCAACAGAGCTGTTAAATTCAAAGTTGTGTTAAGAGAATCTTACATGTAACCAGTGCTCTGGCCACTTTGTCTCATGTCTTCTCAGCAGCCCAGCTGTGGCTGCATTCTTTTATATTCCTCAGGAACGCATCCCACCTAACCTTTTCCCAGAGTTTCTCTTCCTCTGGACACAGTTCACTGAGCTTCTGAAGCTTTCACTTCAGTGTTCTTCATGCCTCTGAATTCCACTGTGGGGAGATGTGTTGTGCCCTGGTGCTAAAAAAAGAAATTGATCTCATTTACTAGATTTACCTGGAAGGCGTGAGCTGACACTGCATTTGTCCAAGCTGTAGGAGTGAGATCTTGAAACCTCTGGTGGTGGTTTGAGGGCGGGCTGGAAAGTTCAACATCTTTCATATGGGAGAAGATGTGGGTGCAGCTGTGAAGCCTTTGTGTAGTATGGGAAGGAGTCGCAGGAGGATTAGACTTCACTACTTTTTTCTGGGCTTTGTCTTATCCCTTTGCAGGCATAGTGAGGCACTCTGTGCTGTGCTTCAGATTTCATTGATATATTTTGCTTAGGAATGTTTCTGTGATTTCTGTGACAGCATTGGGTAATGTCTGCAGTTGACTCTTGTAAATTTGCTGTGTTGATCTTTCTCTTCAGGAAAAATGTATTCACATCACAGCAAATCCTGAGCCTTGACCCAAGCTTTTGGTGCTGCATGAGAGAGAGCTTTCTTGTGATCTGATGCTGGGGAATTTTCTCAGACAGGAAGAGCATGTGGACAAGATCCAGCTATTTGTCAGCACCTGATGCAGGACGCTGCTATGGGCATGTGCTGCTTCCAGGAACCACATACTATGTGGAACCAGTTGCCCAAAACTGAGCTGGCGTCCACATTCTTTCCTTTGTTTACATTGGTATTCTCTGACTGAGAGCTGTGTGTGATTGTTTGGGTGGGGATTTGCCCACGCTTTGTTCACTAATTGAGACTTTTCAGACTTCACTGGACTTTGAAACTGTAATGGAAAAACCTCCTCTCAAAAATATTGAAGTTGCCTCTACTGCTCTTTCTATTCAGTTTGTCTGCAGTATTCTTACAGCTATTAGTACTGATACTGTTAATCAAATAGTATCTGTAAAGAATCTTGTTCGTTAGAAAGCAGTTAATGATCAGCATTAATATCCCAGGTTCAAGTTGCTTCTTTATGACTGCACACACAAGCCACATTGTATGTCTTGCTTTTGGCTGAGTAAATGTACATTGACTTGTGCAGTGTAGGTATACCAGATCTGCAACATTCACTTTCTCATTACGTTTTCATAGCTCCTACAAATGCTTCTGCCTGCTAATTTGAAGACTGAAAGGAAGAAGAGGCATCTTCATTATGCATATTCTATCCTGTGGTTAAAACAAAAGGGTTCTGACTCTTGCTACAAGCTGCTAGGCATGTGGGTAAAGCTGTGAAGGCAAACACAATATGGCATAAACTACCAGCACTGGCTGCATCCTGTGGACAGAGATCACAGAATCACAGGGTTGGAAGGGACCTCAAGAATCACGAATCTCCAACCCCCTGCCACAGGCAGGGCCACCAACCTCCACATTTCATAGCAGCCCAGGCTGCCCATGGCCCCATCCAGCCTGGCCTTGAACACACGTCCAGGGATGGACGGGGCATCCACAGCCTCTCTGGGCAGCTGTTCCAGCACCTCACCACTCTCTCTGTAAAGAACTTCCCCTGATATCCAACCCAAATGTTCCCTCCCTCAACTTCAAACCATTTCCCCTTGTGCT